ACGTGTTGTCCTGAAAAGGAATGTTTTTGCGGTCACTGATGAACGTTGTCCTGAAAAGGACAGTTTTTGCGGTCGCTGATTAACGTTGTTCTGAAAAGGCCAGTTTTTGTGGTCGCTGATGAACGTTGTCCTGAAAAGGACAGTTTGTGGTCGCTGAAACGTGTTGTCCTGAAAAGGCCAGTTTTGCGGTCGCTGATAAACGTTGTCCTGAAAAGGACAGTTTTGTAGTCGTGAAGAACGTTGTCCTGAAAAGGACAGTTTTTTTGGTCGTTAAAAAGTTGTCCTGAAAAGGACAAGAAGTTTTCGCTGATAAACGTTGTCCTGAAAAGGACAGTTTTGCGGTCGTGGATTTGTTGTCCTGAAAAGGACAATTTTGCGGTCGCTGATGAACGTTGTCCTGAAAAGGACAGTTTTGCGGTCGCTGAAATTTTTGTCCTGAAAAGGACAGTTTGTCGTCCTGTAACGTGGAAAAGGACAGTTTTTGCGGTCACTGATTAACGTTGTCCTGAAAAGGACAGTTTTTGTGGTCGCTGATGAACGTTGTCCTGAAAAGGACAGTTTGTGGTCGCTGAAACGTGTTGTCCTGAAAAGGCCAGTTTTTGCGGTCGCTGATAAACGTTGTCCCGAAAAGGACAGTTTTTGCGGTCGTGGATAAACGTTGTCCTGAAAAGCACAGTTTTTGCGGTCGCTGATGAACGTTGTCCTGAAAAGGCCAGTTTTTGCGGTCGCTGATGAACGTTGTCCTGAAAAGGCCAGTTTTTGCGGTCGTGGATAAACGTTCTCCTGAAATGGCCAGTTTTTGCGGTCGCTGATGAACGTTGTCCTGAAAAGGACAGTTTGTCGTCGCTGAAACGTGTTGTCCTGAAAAGGACAGTTTTTGCGGTCACTGATGAACGTTGTCCTGAAAAGGACAGTTTTTGCGGTCGCTGATGAACGTTGTCCTGAAAAGAACAGTTTTGTGTTCGCTGAAACGTGTTGTTATGAAATGAAATTTTTTTGGTTGCTGAAGTGCTTTTTCCTGAAAAGGGCAGCTTATTGTATATTGTTGCAGCTAGCGAGAATGGCTGGAGCGGCGGCCGATGGTGATCTGGTGCTGCTGTTGATGATCTCTGACTCGAACTGCCAGATACAATTTAAGTGAATGATCTGAATTCACACCGGTAAGTGTAATTAAGACTGTTTAATTAAAAACAAAGCATTTACTTAAATAAGTTGTTTCTATAAAAATAGCATATAAACAGAAAATATATTAAATAATTGTATATTTCATTATTTGTCGTATTTCTTTCGTGAGCAGATGTAAAATCGTCGATGGCTCTTGAATGTACTCTGAAGATGAAAGCCAGAGTGGGAATGTCGTTGCCATTACTGAAGACCTGTAAGCTCTTTTCCTCTCACCATTGCTCAGTTGAAAAGACAATGGGGCTAACACAAAATCATTTTAACCTGTTCTCTTTCAAGCTGAATAACTGAAAGGGTTTTGCGGTGATTGTTACGACAAATGATATCATGATGACTAAATGTCTAATTAAAATCCTGCAGAAAAAGATTCAATTACTTTAGTGTTTTTTTTAGATATTAAACATTTTGTGGGTTGGACAATTATCCGGTGTTGTTACACGATTTGGTCAACTTTGGTGTTACACCGGTATCTCTCTCTCTCTCTCTTTCTCTCTCTCACTCACTCTCTGTCTATATATATATATGTATTTCAATTAAAATGTGCAGTTATAATTTATAAATTCATGAATCATTCATACAAAAAACAAATATACAGGTTAATGATTTAAATGGCGAGAATACATCTTCGCAAACAATATAAATAAGATACATCAACCCCGAACCTGTATATGAATGATATGATCCCTGTTTATAAATTCCAGTTGCATAAGGTCTTTTTAATTTTTTACAAGCTTTCGTCTGTTCCTACAGACATCATCAGGTATGGAAATAGATTTTTATTCTTGTTTTTACTTTTCGGTAATAAGAGGACAACGAAAATATAAATGCAATTCGAATAAATGCTATGAGAAATGTGTTATTGTTTTGGAACGTGCGGTCGCAACGCTGAGTTTGAATTTAAATGTTATGATTGTGCGTTTTTGTACAAATGTAGCAATAAGATAAATAGTCTATACTCATGAGGTAATATAGGCTTTTTCTGTTGTAATTTACATGCTCTGTTATGCTAAATACACTGAGCTCTTTTTGTGGATTAGGGTTAATATTTTACATTATTAGGATCCACTTGGATTATATACCAACGGATTCATTACCTTTGCTATTTACGCTTAAATTCACCCTCATACCACCGTGCGCAAACCTAGAAACTCTGACGACATTTCAACCAGGTTTCGATCCTAGTTAGGGGCAACGGGACGTCGAGCCACACTGATGAGCTGTGATGCAGTCTGTCTGTGGATGACAATATATATGCTCCTGAAATTTTTCTTTCGGTTGAGCTCTCTGGGGAGGAAGTGTGTGTTTGTAAACAGTGACT